GGTCCTATGTGGCATCAAACGGTACACTCGACTCTGAAATAAGCCATAGAATCCAGTCGGGATGGAGAAATTGGAAAAATGCATCGGGAGTGCTATGCGACAATAAGATCAGCGCAATGGGGGCAAGGAAAGGTCTATAAAACTGTTGTGAGACCTGCAATGATGTACGGAGCAGAAGACTGGTCCATCAAAAAGGCTCAAAAGAAGAAATTAGAGCTAGCCGAGATGCAAATGTTGAGATGGATGTGTGGAGCGACGAGGCTTGATAGGATTAGAAACGAGAGGATTCGAGGAACAACTAAAGTGGTGGAAATATCGAAGATGAGGAGGGAAGATGATTATATAGGCAAGAGGGTTTTGGATATGGAGGTGGAGGGGAGAAGGAAGAGAGGAAGACCAGGGAGAAGATTGCAGTGGTATGGGCACGTGATGAGAAGGGAAGATGATTATATAGGCAAGAGGGTTTTGGATATGGAGGTGGAGGGGAGAAGGAAGACCAAGGAGAAGATGGAAGGATTGCGTGGATGGAGATATTAGAGAAAAAGGCCTTGTTGGAGACGAAGACCGAGGAGAGTGGATACGTGCTGTCAAAAATAGCGACCCCGTATAGATACGGGAAAAGCTACAGAAGAAGAAGATTAAAGTTAAGAATGCGATACGTTTGCGGAAGTCACTGAATACACGCGGAGGTAATAGCACGAGTCACGTGACTGTGGGAACAAAGCACAAAAAAAAAGCTTCGGTGGAGAGATTTTAAAGGCTATCACGTTCCCTTACATGTGGTGTAACGCCACCTAGGTTGGCCCTTCTGAAACGTCTCCCGACTTTTTTCTTCAAGCTTTTGCGAACAAACTAGCAACTGTTCCAGCGGATCAAAGCCTCCCCTAAACGCACGCACACAAACCCTATAAGACTGCCCGTGTTCGTCTGGCTTCATGGGAGCGATTAGTGTCAGACTGAGGTTTAGTGAGGGCCACAGAGACGCCGGTATTCATTAGTGATAAGCATGACAAAAAGTTTATGTTGTTGTTTGGACGCTCGTGCGTCTGCTGGGTGGTATAGCCTCTGGTATCACACATAAATACACGTTCGTACTGGACGAACTTCTTTGTGCATTAAGCGACATCTTCCTTCTCTATTTCTGGTTGTCACGATACAGGTCACGTGCCTTTGGCAAGTTAATGTGTCACTTGTTGCTGGTGTGCATGTTTTTCTTATGATAGAGAATCTAACATGGTGACACCCGAAAAAAAAAATCGCATATAAACGAAATACACTTGGGAAATTTCTGAACGGAGGAAAATTTCTACCATCGACTCGGCTGAGCTGATAAGTTGATCATGACATGGTTTCGTTAAATAACACGGCTTTTTATGTTATTAATTTACAATGTTTGACTGGATTTACCTTCCATTAAGCGAATATGGAGCAAATGGTTTTACCAACGTGTGTATATATATATATATATATATA